CTGGATCCCATTTTTCTTCCTGCCACTTTTGGGTGTTTCTGGCAGTGTGACACGGTGCTCCATCTTCCTGGAACAACGTTGTGTTCTTGTCCACGAAACCCGAGGAATAAAGTGGCAAGAATCCTTCCTCCAATATTTCAACGTATTTCGCAAAATTTATGTTGCCAACGAAGTCCACTAAGCTCGATATCCCACCAACCCAAACAGCTCCCCCAAACCATCACGCTGAAACCACCATGCTTCACAGTTGGCTGCAAACTCTTGGTGAGAATTTTTTCCAGACCCATAACATTCCACTGTCCGAAAATTGACCGAATCTTGATTCGTCTGAGAACAATGCGGTCTTCCAAAAGTCCAGAGGTATGGTCATCATATCACTTTCCCACTTCTTTCGTCTGACTATGTTGGTAGGTCTTAATAAGGGGTTCCATCTAGCTGCTCTGCAACGATAACCCAATCTGTGGAGAATCCGTTGAACAGATTTCGGGCTCATCCCACCAACGTTGGCCACTTCTGCGGTCGTTAATCTGGGATCCATTTCGATGCTCCTCTTGACAGCCCTTTTTGTCCTCTCCGATGGACCATGACGACCCTGACGCTGCTCAGTTGTTTCCTTGCCATGTTTCCTGAACTCCACGATGATTCTGTTGACTGTCGAAAGCGAGATGCCCAAATTCTGCGAAATTTGCCGCTGACTTATTCCACCATCTGCTTGACCAACTATCCTTCCTCTAACAAAATCTGACAATTCGAGAGAACCTTGAGATCTAGGCATGTTGTAGCACAAGTTAATTAGTGTGCGGACCATTTTCATTTATATAGTGCTCTGTGAACACAAATTAGTTAGCATAAATCAGTTAAATGACGAAAAATTAGGTGTCTATTTACTTGTGACCACTCAGTGTACAACATGCCCAAAGAGTCGTTAAGTTGATATTATTCCAGTGATTTGAAAATAATATCTGGTCTGTCTATGGTAATATATCAGTGAAGCTGCACTTTGTACATGAAAGTTAACAGCAGTGTACTCCAGTGGTAGGTTAGGTAATATGTAGACATGAAATCCTCCCTCATATTTGAATGGGAGTGATCAGTCATGATCTGTCTAACTGTCTCTTTCTCACTTGGATGAAGAACTAACTTTCCTTCGTATGTCACAAACATACAATAAACTCCTTCATCTAATCATGATAGTGGGTACCATCTTTGGCCTAGTAGCCACTTTCGCATCACAGTTAAATAGTTCTCTCATCATTGGACATATCCTTTTCATTGACTGGATTTGTAGCTCTCATCCAAACACGGACAATGTTTCTAGGTGAGGCGGAAGATGTGAAGAATTAAATTACCATTATTTCTTCCTTCTGAGGCAGATGTTTGTTCCCCTAATCATATCGTTACACACTTTTCAATAAGCACATCAGTGCTTGGTATGTAGGGATTGTTTGTTTTCAATTTTGCGCAAAGCTACACGAGGGCTATCTGCGCTAGCCGTCCCTAATTTAGCAGTGTAAGACTAGAGGAAAGGCAGCTAGTCATCACCACCCACCGCCAACTCTTGGGCTACTCTTTTACTAACGAAAAGTGAGATTGACCATAACATTATAACGCCCCCACGCAGAAAGGGCGAGCATGTTTGGTGTGATGGGGATTCGAACCCGTATGTAGGGATGGGCAGAGAAAAGTGGCTACTGCATTCAATCTATTATTCTATGTTATAGCCTTATTTTGAGCATTTAATTGCCATTATCGAGTGTTTCACAGCTTGTGAGACTCCCAATATCATTGAGAAGTGTTGCTAAAGTGGAGAACGGGAACAGCTAAAGAACAAAAGTGTTCATCACAATGGCTTTAGTGTGACAGAAAAGTATTTTAAGAGCACTCACGAACAGGCTATCACAAAACACGATAGTGCTTAGTATGTAGGGATGGCCCAAGAAAGAAATGGCTGCTACATTGAATTTATTACTTTATAATGCTTACAAATAATTGCTAAAGTTGACTTATAGAAGCACCTAATTACCATTATTCAGTGTTTCACATCTTGTAGAACAATAATATTATTCTGTTCTTCTACCACAAGTATTTTTGTGGGAGGTGGATAAAAAATAAAAACTTCTACTAAGTGGTGAATTCAGTTTATAAGCATATACTATTTCCATGTTTCATAAATAGCAGGTATATTTCTAGTCACTAAATGGCAACATAATATTGTTCTTATATAATAATTTTAGTACAAATAAAGAAAGAATAATGTAAATAAATATTCAAGGTATCAAGTAGATCAGGTATTTATGCAATTGACACTTCTATGTGCATGTTATTGATATCTGAGTTTAAGTACACCAGTTTCTTAATTATCAAATAATGCATTATATAGCACTTTACTTGGACGTTTTCAGAAGAGACAATCCTGGCACCTGTGCGTGTGTATGCATGGTATCATATATCATGACCTGGGATCTGTTTGATGTATTACAATTTGGAATGGTCTGAGGTCGAGCTAAATGATAATTTAAATTTAATAGAGAAATAAATGCTGATATATCTCCAATTTATGATATTTGCCAACAAGATTGATACATAGTTTTTAATACAAGTGTTTTAATATATAAACAATAATACAATTTACAATAACAGTTATTACAAACAATGATTTATAGACAAAAGTTTTACAAACTTACAAGCAATATAAAGTCTTTTTTTCTAGTCTGGAACTTCCTTGATGTCTTATCGATGGTTCACGATGAGCGAGTTAATTCCAAGTTGATGTAGATACAATTCACTTAATGGGGAGCTTGCTCGCTCCGTGAAATTCGCTGATCACGCACCAATTTTATCTACCGGTGACGTTAGGTAACGTTTTCGTAAAAGTACTAACGTCCGGTGTGAATCCATTGAAGTTGAATGATTTGTAATGTTCGAAATTTATAAACGTTCCAGGTCAAATATTAATATGCGTTAATCACAGTTAATAGCTTACGAAGTTTATATCACACCAATAATATATGCTGTTTTTTTGCGCGTCGCATTGGTTATATTTATAGGCGTGTGGAGAGTTTCTCGAAATTTCAGTTTTACGTAACAATACTGACGCTAACACTAAAGTTTACGTACACACATATATTGTTGATTCTAACACTCGAGAATCTAATACAACTTTAGAGAATAGGCAGGAGTTTCGCAAAACATATTTAACAGTATAAGTTATGTACATTTCTAAGTATAAATTTAATTTAAACAAACATCGATATTAAAATAAATGTATAATAATAAATCCTTCACAGATGTCCTCCCTATTAATCAACAAGACCACAGCATGCTTGCACATGCAGTGAGTTGGGATGAAGGCGTGGTTTCTGTAAATATCCCCTTCCAACTTCACTGGCCCCAACGTAATCCGAAATTAGAAAAACTGATATCATATTAACAATATATACTACAATTGAATTATGAAAATAAAAGTGTTCACTTATCAAACTATTTCAATTAGGTTTTTTTAAATGGGGGGGGGGTATAATTTTTTGGCAAAAATTAAGTATGAAATAGGGATGGAAATGCCAAAAAATACAGAAATATGGTAGTGATGAATACACAGAACCGAGTACTGCGCCAATACTACAAGCTTATGGTGATTAGACACTGTAAGTGTAAGACTGTGTAGCACTATTCAGTTTAAATGCTTTTATTCCAACCTGAATTCATGCAACCGACAGGATTTTAACATTTGGTAGTAGATAAAAGTTTATCTTGGAAAGATTTGTCTATTTCTGTAATGATTTTTCTATAGTTTTGTGTAGTCATCCCTACCTTATTTCTGTACATTTTGGCATTAGTATCTCTACATCATTCTTAATTTTTACAAAAAAAAAGTTTAATACTTGTTACTTTACAAACGATTTATATCAATAATAACTAACAAGTTTCTTACTTAAGTTTTGTGCAATCATCTTGTAAAAGCTTAAACTACAATGTATGATTTAACTCAATGGGTTTATTTGTGATTAGTATGTGACATACAGTAATGAAATTATTATAAATATGAGACACCAGTGTTCATAAAGTTAGATAAAGTTTTATTTGTTAGTAGATTTCTTA